CTGGAAGGTAAATGAGAAAGGCGGCCTCCTAGCAGGTGGAACTCAGTGAGACCTCAAGGAGAGAGGAATCCACCCTCAGCTAAGAGATACTGCAAGTGACTGATGGCAAGTCCTGTTGTGGCTTTCCTGGCTTGAGAGGCATTTTAAAAGTTCAGTTTGAGATTCTGTATAAAGAGTTCTAGCATAGCCAACTCCAAAGAGCCTGTATGATCAATTACACTTATGTAAATGATCAGGGCAAGTTTACTGAAACTGGACTTATTTTGCAAATAAATTAGTCTTAACTTGGCTATATTTGTTAGAAATTAGCTTTATTCTAGAGGGGGAAATTATGTTCAGTGGACATTAAGTTGCAGTGTTATTGTTTTTTGAGAGGTTTTTTTTTTTTTTGGAGTGTGTGTTTACTGCCTTAGATTCATTTCTCAGACAGCTCCTTGTTGCTCTGTTACATTATTAGAAAGTTTGTTTCTGAAGCTGAACACAATAGTCCTATCTTTGGGGGACGATTAGATGCCCCGTGACTGCAACCAGAAGATTGTGTGTGATCATAGCTATGCCACTGTTCCTCCTCGACTGAAGGACACAGTTCACTTTCGAAGGGGCGAAGGTGAGAGCCTCCAAAGGGCTTGAAGATACTGCAAAGGGCTCGATGGCAAACACTTCATTTCCACTTAGAAAATGTTCCATGTGTGAAATTTTAAAGGGAGGAAGTAAGGGAAGGCTGAGGGCAGAATGTAAAGGAAAGTTTTCTGGAACAGCGGCCCTCGCCCAGGAGAGATAACAACCGAGGATGTGTTTCTCGCAGTTGGCCCTGACCAGTTGAAGCTGATCAAGGCCCATGAACTCGGGGACACCCTGCCCCACCAGACTGTCACTGGTCCTAACTGAAGAGTCTTCCTTAGCAGTGAGGCATGAGGTTTGTTTCAGCCAACTGTGTTTATTTCTGTTTCCTTTTTTATGGCAGTCTAGCTGATTTACAGTGTTGTGTTAATCACTTCTATTCAGCAACGGGATTCAGTTATACATACGTGTGGTGGTTTGGTCACTAAAGTCATGTCCAACTCTTGCAACCCCATGGACTGTAGCTCGCCAGGCTTCTCCGTCCATGGGATTTTCCAGGCAGGAATACTGGAGTGGGTTGCTATGTCCTTCTCCAGGGGATCTTCCTGACCCAGGGATTGGACCCTGGTCTCCTGCACTGTAGGCAGATTCTTTACCGACTGAGCTACCAGGGAAGCTCCTATACATACATAGACATTCTTCTTATAATATATTCTTCTGTATTATGATTTGTCATAGGATATTGAATGTAGTCCTCTGTGTTATACAGTAGGACTTTACCGTTTATCCGTTCTGTTTATAATGGTCTACATCTGCTAACCCCAACCTCCCACTCCAGCCCTCCCCAACTCCCTCCCCCTGGCAGCTACAGTCTCTTCTCTTTGTTTCTCATTCTTTCTGTTTCATAGATACATTTACGTCATGCTTTAGATTCCACAGATAAGGGATATCATATGATGTTTATCTTTCTCTGTCTGAATTACATCACTTAGTATAATCTCTAGTTGCATCCACGTTGCTGCAAACGGCACGATTTCGTTCTTTTTTTTTATGGCTGAGTAGTATTCCATTGTATACATGTCCCGTATCTTCTTTAGGCATCCCTCTGTCGATGGACATTTAGGTTGTTTCTGTGTCTTTAGCCAACTGTGTTTTGGCCTGTGGATTCATTCTGTCCTCTCCAGAGAGATCCAGAGTACTGGATCTCAATCTTTCATTAGCAATAACCTTATGAAACCTGCTCCTGGCCAGCACTTTTCCCCTCTCACTGAACTACTTCCTCACCAGCTTGTGTTCCTTTGTTTGACAAGTCAGTAGACTTAGCTTTTTATTTTCATCTATTCATCTATCCACTCCTTCATCCATTTTCCATCCATCTCTTTGCTTATTATTTATTTTTTAGCTCTGGTGGTCTTCATTTTATTTGCTGACAGGCATAAATAAATTAGTATATGTAAAGCACTGATAAGTGATAGCTATTATCTTTTTCACTCACTAGTATCTTGTGTATATAAGAACAGCATGTCATTGAAACATTTTAGTTCTGTGTCTTTGGACGTATACATGAATGAGAGTTCTTGACTTCAGGTGACAGGAGGTTTCTAACCCAAGTTTGTAAGTGACCATGTGGTGTTCAGGAATGCCTCATCTGGTGTCTAGAAAGAAACCTGGGAATATTCTGAGCCTTTTCAGTGGGAGAGAGGCTGATAGATTCAGATCCAAATTCTGGGTCAAACACTGATGTTTGAAAGACTACTCACTGTGATTCTAACTTAAGGGACTTTCGAAAATTGTAAGTCTGAACTCTTTAAGAAAACAGGTTAAGAGGTAGTATGTTGGTGTACGCGTATCTGGAAGGCCTGTTTCTACAGCTCAGCCTGTGTGCACGCATGCCCACGTGCACACAGCCTTGATCTTCACCGTAGACTCCAGCCCAGGACACAAGGGTGGGCCCTTGGTGCCAAGGAAATGACTGTGTGTCTCAGAGCAAAGAGATACTGAGAACACTTCTCAGCAAGTTGCACAGAATAAGGCCTGTTTTTTCTTGGACCTGCTGATCTGTGTCCCCAGAAGCTCTTTGTCCTGCCTCTGATGCCCTAGTCTGTCACTGCTGCAGCGGTAGCGGGCAGTCCAGGGCTTCCTGGTGAAGGCCAGCCCAGAGCTCACCCCGTTCTCCTTCCTGCTTGCCTGGGCTGTCGTGGCTCACATTTGAACCGGCCAGTGAAGGAAGGTCATGGGCAATTTTGAACCAGCTGCCAAGTGCTACAGAAAGTTTAACCACAGATAAAGGGGGGGGCGGGGGACCTCTGAGGTCAGGACCCTAGATTCCACTTCCCTGCTTCTGCAGGTGTGGTGGGGGGGACCACTGGGGACAAAGTTGACAGTAGGGGCACTCGGACAGAGGCCGCAGTCCAAGCCATCACAAGCTGGGAACCAGCTCTGCTTCACATGCGGGCTCCTCTTCCGATCATCCTTCACTGGAATGAATTATTCACTTGCAATCTCTACTTGCGCCAGTTGTCCGCTGGCATAGCTGCAGTGCCTCTCCCCAGAGCAACCCTGAAGAGCCCACAGAAGCAGGAAGGAAGCATGGGTTCTAGATGATAACAGCAGACCACTCTCCCCCAGTGTGCTGCCTCCGGAGAGCAATGCCTCGAGCTCTCATGGTACTGTCAAGCGGAGGTTCGAGTGTCCTTTCCTTCCCGCCTGTGATGCCTCCAAGGGACCCCCAAGGCCCCCTGGTCCACTTGCTTTCTGGTGAGCCCCATCCGTGCTGCTCTGGGGCCTTGTGGGTCATGCCAGGAGGTGCACACAGGCCCTGCCCCGTTGTGGTGGTGGAGGCGTGGGGTGCACACTCTCCTGAGAGTGGCCCGTGACTGATCCACCAGTAGCTGTTAGTGCCGTATGTGTGGGAGGCACATATAGTGCCGTATATGTGACACCAGCCCATTCCTGGTGTCACAGCTTTCTCTTAACATCTATCTGGTGCATACACACACACACACACACACACACACACACAGTCATTGCCCCCAAGGCATCCCCCTAGTTCAGGAAGGACTGGCTCTTCCTGGTTACAAAACCAGGTTGTATCAAACTCTTCTAATACTCTCAGATGTCAGAAGTCATTTATGGACTAGTTTGCCAAGAATTAGGAACTCAGCTAAAGAGTTTTCCTGGCATAACCGCCTCCAATTCTCAAACCAACTCTAATGCTGCAACTTCTACACGGTAGAGTCAGTGCTTTTTGTTAAATTTCACAGCATCCTGGGATCTTGCTTTGTATCAGCACCCATCCGTCTCTGCTCATTGAAGGTATTTAATAGATGCTTCTCAAGATACCCACACAGGCTACTTAAGAAAAGATTTTCAGTTTACAGTCACGCACCCAGTTATTCCTTGAAGGCTTGGAGTGCTTTCTCTCATAGTTGTTGCTTTAATCTGCTGCCTTCTACTGAACCATGAGACGGCAAGTATTCAGCCTATAAGGCTGAAAGACTCGAAGGCCTTGTCTAAAGGTGCAAAATGGATTAAGTTTCTACTGGGAAAAGAGAGCCACACAACAGACCATTTTGTGCAGATACAGTCTCTGCCTCAAAGAACAGTCACTCAGACAAGATTTTTAAACTGTACCTTTGTTTTACCTGATTGGCAAAATGACGCATAAATACAGACAAAATGAGAATGTGGGAAATTTGAAAAGTAAGAACACAAAAGCAGTTAGACATAATCTCATCATCCAAAGATAGTACTATTAACATTTTATTTCCTTCTGAGTATTTATTTTCACTTAACAAAAGCAACAGGTTTCATTTCTTAAAGGATAGTTTTAGGTTTACAGTGAAATTGAGCAGGGACTTCCCGGCTGGTCCAGTGGTTATGACATCACCTTTCAATGCAGAGGGTGCAGGTTCGATCCCTGGTGGGGAAGCTAAGATCCCACATGCCTCTTGGTAAAAAAACAAACAAACAAACAAACAAACCTGAAACATTAAAAAAAAAAGGAATATTGTAAGAAATTCAATAAAGACTTTAAAAATGGGCCACATCCAAAAAAATCTTAAATAAATTGAGCTGATGGTAAAAGTATTTCCCATATGTCCACCTTTCCTGCCCTCAACTCCCCCTGTTACTGACATCTGCATTAGTTGGCACAGTTGTTGCCATTGATGAAGCAATATTATATTAACTAAAGTCCAACAGGTGCACTAGGGCTCACTCTCCGTGAGGTCCAGCTCCATGGGTTTTGACGCGTGCCTGGATCATGCATCCGCCCAGACAGCCTACACGGATCAGGCTCCCCACTTCTCTCGATCTTGTCAGATCCAAGCAGCACGCGCTTCAGCAAGCAGCTGATGCTACCTGCTTTTTGTGTGGGAGCCTAACAAGACCCCTTGACCTTATTTGCCCTCTGCCTCTCCTTGTCGATAAACTCATAGACACCGCAGGACGCATCAGCCTAAAGTTAGCCAATCCCCTGCGTTCATATTGTGGATGGTTTTCCGCCTTATATGGAATGTTTAAAAATCAGTTCATGGCAACAGCTTTCCGTGATCGCGATAACATCCAGGAACAGTTGAGGAAGACTCAGCGCCGTGTGGCGCCCCCCAGCACCTCCTTGGAAAAGGTGGGGTTTTCTTTTTTGGTCTGAGGGCTTGAGGCCAGTGCTGAGTTCAGTCTCCGCGTGGCCACCTGCACCGCAGCGGGGGATGGGCATCCCTGGAGTCCGGGGGGAGGAGGGGGAACCCCCCCCTCCCGGAGTCCCAGCTTCCTTGCTCCTCCAGGGAGGACCGCGCTTCAGCATCACTGCCCTCTCACTCCCATCCATCCGCGCCCCTCGGAGCCTTTAGACGGAAACCCGGCACTGTTTTCTTTTGCTTTTCGGACTGGTTGGCCTCCTGGGGCAGTGAGCACTGGCCTTGGTGGAAGTGGACTAGGGCCGTGTGGATGGCTTTAAGGCACGTGTCACCCGGCCACGCCAGACTGCCTTCCGGAAATGGCAAACTACGGAGCGCTTTTGACGCTTTCCAACTGTGGTGTTGGAGAAGATTCTTGAGAGTCCCTTGGACTGCAAGGAGATCCAACCAGTCCATCCTAAAGGAAATCAGTCCTGCATATTCATTGGAAAGACTGATGCTGAAGCTGACACTCCAATACTTTGGCCACCTGATGGGAAGAACTGACTCTTTGGAAAAGACCCTGATGCTGGGAAAGATTGAAGGCAGGAGAAGAAGGGGATGACAGAGGATGAGATGGTTGGAAGATGGCATCACCGACTCAATGGACATGAGTTTGAGTAAGCTCTGGGAGTTGGTGATGGACAGGGAAGCCTGGTGTGCTACAGTCCATGGGGTCACAAAGTCGGACACGACTGAGTGGTTGAACTGAACTGAACTGAACTGATGGAACACTGTCCAGAAAGTTTTCACCTGAAGGTGAAGACTGGCAACATCTCTTTGCCTGTTTGCATGTAAGTGCACGTCAGAATTAACGAGAAGAATAGCACTTTGTTATGGTGGTGGTGGTGGAATTGTTAGAACCGTAAAACTCTGTATCTGCAGAGCCTGGCCTTCTGCACAGGTTGTGTTAGCTCGGAGCTCAGCGCGACGGGGTCGCTGTGGCCACAACACAGGGCCAAGGGGGAATCTCTGAAGTCTTCAGGGCTCGCGATGCCAGAGGTGGTTCCTTGCATCTGTTCCAGGTACCACAGCTGGTTTGTGGCAGAACCGGACGCTGCATCTGGGACAGCAGGGTCCACATCCCCATGCAGGCACGCTAAAGCCTCTTTAAGAACAGGCCAGGCAGCCCTTCAGCCCGAGTAGACCCCTTTCAGAGATGCCTCTGCGAGCCTGACCTGTTGTGTGGGGGTCGCCTCATGGGAACCAAGAGCCCCACTGAGAGGCCTTGTCTGATTTTCCATCCAGAGTCCAGTCTGTCCCCTGACCTCTGGCCCAGAACTAGTTATTCCAACCATTCCTAGCCTGTTGCCCCTGCTCAAAACAAAGCAAACGAAAGGTTAGATGAAGCCCTTGAGGCCTGCTCAGGGGGTCAGAGAAAATGAGTGCTGTGGTCATGTGGTTGATGAGTCATTTTTGCCCCTGAAACAAACACTAAAATAGACTCCAGTGCAGGGCCTAGGAGGGCTTTGAGAGCTGGGAGGCAGCAAATGTTAGAAATGTAGTCTTTGGGCCAGAGACACCCAGGTTTGAATCTGGTTTTGGCTCCTCTGAGCTGTGTTCCTCTCAGGCAGACCCCTCAACCTCTCTGGGCCTTGGTTTGCTATTGTTCAGTTGCTGAGTCTTGTCTGACTCTTGTGACCCCATGGACTGTAGCCCGCCAGCCTCCTCTGTCCATGGGATTTTTCAGGCAAGGATACTGCAGTGAGTTGCCATTTCCTCCTCCGGAGGATCTTCCCGACCCAGGGATCGAACCCGCGTCTCCTGCGTTGCAGGCGGTTTCTTTACCACGGAGCCATCTGGGAAACCCAAACAGGGCTGATGGTAGTGCGTATCTTATACAGCGGTGGTGAGGATTACATGAAAACAAACAAACACCAACAAACCCCACAAAGGTAAAGTACTTAGCTGCTGCCTGGCCTCAGTAAGCTCTTGCATGCATGCTAAGTCGTCTCCAGTCACGTCCCGCTCTTTGCGATCCTATGGACTATATAGCCCGCCAGGCTTCTCTGTCCATGGGATTCTCCAGTCAAGAATACTGGAGAGGGTTTCTGTGCCCTCCTCCAGGACATCTTCGCAACACAGGGATCAAACCTGGCATCTCAGGCAGGTTCTTTACCACTAGTGCCACCTGGGAAGCCCAGGTAAACTCTTCAGTTCAGTTCAGTTCAGTCTCTCAGTCGTGTCTGACTCTTTACGACCCCATGGACTGCAGCATGCCAGGCCTCCCTGTCCATCACCAACTCCTGGAGTTTACTCAGACTCATGTCCATTGAGTCAGTGATGCCATCCAACCATCCTCTGTCATCCCCTTCTCCTCCTGCCCTCAACTTTCCCAGCATCAGGGTCTTTTCCAATGAGTCACTTCTTCACATCAGGTGGCCAAGATGTTGGAGTTTCAACTTCAACATCAGTCCTTCCAATGAACATTCAGAACTGATTTCCTTTAGGATGGACTGGTTGGATCTCCTTGCAGTCCAAGGGACTCTCAAGAGTCTTCTCCAACACCACAGTTCAAAAGCATCCATTCTTTGGTGTTCAGGTTTCTTTAGAGTCCAATTCTCACATCCATACATGACTACTGGAAAAACCATAGCCTTGACTAGACTGACCTTTGTTGGCAAAGTAATGTCTCTGCTTTTTAATATGCTGTCTAGGTTGGTCATAACTTTTCTTCCAAGAAGTAAGTGTATATCAAGTAAGTATATCAAGGCTGCAGTCACCATCTGCACCATCTTTGGAGCCCCCCAAAATAAAGGCTGTCATTGTTTCCACTGTTTTCCCATCTATTTGCCATGAAGTGATGGGACCAGATGCCATGATCTTAGTTTTCTGAATGTTGAGCTTTAAGCCAACGATTTCACTCTCCTCTTTCACTTTCATCACGGGGCTCTTTAGTTCTTCTTCACTTTCTGCCATAAGGGTGATGTCATCTGCATATCTGAGGTTATTGATATTTCTCCTGGCAATCTTGATTCCAGCTTGTGCTTCCTCCAGCCCAGCATTTCTCATGATGTACTCTGCATATAAGTTAAATAAGCATGGTGACAATATGCAGCCTTGCCGTACTCCTTTTCCTACTTGGAACCAGTCTGCTGTTCCATGTCCAGTTCTAACTGTTGCTTCCTGACCTGCATACAGGTTTCTCAAGAGGCAGGTCAGGTGTTCTGGTATTTCCATCTCTTTCACAATTTCCCACAGTTTATTGTGATCCAAATAGTCAAAGGCTTTGGCGTAGTCAATAAAGCAGAAATAGATGTTTTTTTGGAACTCTCTTGCTTTTTCAATGATCCAACGGGTGTTGGCAATTTGATCTCTGGTTCCTCTGCCTTTTGTAAAACCAGCTTGAACATCTGGAAGTTCACGGTTCATGTATTGCTGAAGCCTGACTTGGAGACTTTTGAGCATTACTTTACTAGCATGTGAGATGAGTACAATTGTGTGGTAGTTTGAGCATTCTTTGGGATTGCTTTTCTTAGGGATTGGAATGAAAAGTGACCCTTTCTAGTCCTGTGGCCACTGCTGAGTTTTCCAAATTTGTTGGCATATCGAGTGCAGCACTTTCACAGCATCATCTTTTGAATTTGAAATAGCTCAACTGGAATTCCATCACCTCCACTAGCTTTGTTCATAATGATGTTTCCTTAAGGCCTACTTGACTTCACACTCCAGGATGTCTGGCTCTAAGTGAGTGATCACACCATCATGATTATCTGGGTTGTGAAGTTTTTTTTTTGTACAGTTTTCTGTGTGTTCTTGCCACCTCTTCTTAATATCTTCTGCTTCTGTTAGGTCCATACCATTTCTGTCCTTTATTGAGCCCATCTTTGCATGTAATGTTCTCTTGGTATGTCTAATTTTCTTGAAGAGATCTCTAGTCTTTCCCATTCTATTGTTCTATTATTCTAAAGTAAGCTCTTAAGATACTGTAATTTTTGTTATTCAATCACGAGGAAAATCCCAAAGCATCAGTATGTTGGGTCACTGGTGTCCCTTACACGGTCTGTGAACGCTGCTGCCAAAGCAGCAGCACCCTTCATCCGACATCTTTGCCTTGTTTTTCAGGCCTCCTGCTTCCACAAAACCTCCCCGAATTTAGGTCCGTAACCTCTTAGGCAAGAAAAGTTTCCTATGAGTGTGACATATATGAGCACCACCCCAAAGGGCCAGGGAGCTTCTGGCAAAACCTGGCACAATCTGTAAGTTTCCTGTGAGTTTCCCAGCACCCGCCACCTGGAAGCCGCTGAGCTGTGACTGCAGACTGCTTCCTCCCACTGCTCCCTCCGGCAGCCGGCGGCGGTTGACTTCATCTCGCAGTCAGCCCTTGATCTGCTCCACGCTGACAGCCCGTCCTGACCGGCTTGGGGATTGTGACAAGCCTTTGTTTCCATGTGGGCGAAGTCTTTGGAAAAGGGGAAAGCTCCTTGGTGAGCCTTCATCCTCAGACGTGGTTAGGTTATGAGTAATTCTAGTAGCAGAGCCAGGGAGCTGGCAGTTCTTAGGCTAAGACTGTGTTACCAATTGTCCAGAGCAGTGGGAGAGGAATGGGGATACTTGATGCAAAAGCCTCTGTCAGCTGGGGAGCTGCTTACCAACCCTGCAAGGCATATGATGATGTCCACTCTGGGAGGTCAGCGCAGACACTCCTGAATATACAGCCTCGCTGTATTCCTGCACACACGTGCGCACACACACACCAGCTGCATGCTATGGTGAGGAAAGGGGGGTGCGTGGCCTCAAGGATTGGTTTGGATAAAGGGTGCCCATTCCTGCTAGTGTTTCTTCTCTCTTTGCCGAGTGGACTGTAGCCCGCCAGGCTCCTCTGCCCATGGGATTCTCCAGGCAAGAATAACGAGTTGGTGAGGAAAGAGGGGGTCGTGTGGTCTTGAGCATGGTTTGGATAAAGGGTGCATATTTCCGTTTTTGTTCTCTTTTCAGAATAGACCGTAGCCTGCCAGGCTCCTCCGTCCCTGGGACTCTCCCGGGAAGAACACTGGAGCGGGCCGCTGGGCCACCTCGGCCGTCCCAGGCAGGAGGCTCTGCGGTCCGCGGTCAACTCGAGCCCGCCGCGCCGTCGCCGGCGTCCAGCAGGGGGCGCTGCGCCCCGGCCCGCCGGCCCGCTCTCCCCCGCCGAGGCCGCCGCGACGCCGGCCAGTCGGGCCGCGGGTCCGCGCGCGCACGTCCTCGGGCGGCCGCCGTGGCCAACGCGCACGGTGACACGCCGGCTGGACGAGGCCCTTTGTCAGAAGCCGCGGGACCTGGCGTTTCCGCGCGACGGGAAAAACAAAGGGCTTCTGCCTGCCTGGCCGGGGTTGACATTGGCTCACCCTCTGACCCCCGGGCGTTTGCAGGCAGAATGAGTTCGTGCGAGACCGCAGGACCTTGCCATGAGTCACTCACTTTATGTAAATCCGAGTCAACAGCACACTTCCCCTCACTTTGGGCCATCGCTTGAAGTTTTAGGTCACTAGGTGCTGTTTGCGTTAACAAGAGACTCAAATATTTCCTAAGTCCTTTTTTTTTAAGGCAAAACCAACTTGGGGGGCAGATTTGCAGTTGGAGAGTTTTGGTCGCTCTTAGCTCCCAAAATAGGTTGGCCTTATATGTTATTTACGTGTTTCAGAAGTGTGCCATGTAAAAATTCAAGGGAAAGTTGCAAAATATATTCTGGCAGGAGGCCCAGGAGAGGTTATTCAGGGAGATAAGGATGACTGGATCAGGCGTGGGAGCAAGACATGGTGAGGAAACCAGCCCAGAGCTGCTGCTGCTTTTTTTTTTTTTACACCTAGAAAAAAAAATGTAAACACCTGGAGTTGATCTGTTCTGAGGATTATGGGCAAATTTTGATTTTCTGGGAAACAGACAAGACGGGATTAAAAGTAAAGAGACAAACAAGCAAGAGGCCTGGGAGGTTCGGAAGGGTTTGAGCCAGTGAACAAGGAGCCTGAATCATACCTTGGAGCTTGAATAATACCATCAAGTGGAGCACCTGAAGAGAATTAACTTGGAAGGCATTGGAGGCTCGGGGAAAGCTTTTCATTGGCCTCTGGCCTGGAATCCACCGGGGAGCGTCCCTGGGCCGTTCTAAGGTGTTTCCCTTGCCAGCCTCTCCAGTGGGCTGCTCTGGATTCCTCTTTACCACATTTAGGGGGAAATACATCCCCAAGAGGGTATGAGGTGGCGCTAGTGGTTAAGAATCCGCGTGCCGATGCAGGAGATATGGGTTCGATCCTTTGGTCTGGAAGATCCTCTGGAGAAGGAAATGGCAACCCACTCCGGTATTCTTGCCTGGAGAATTCCACGGACAGAGGAGCCTGGCGGGCTACAGTCCATAGGGCTGCAGAGAGTCAGATGTGACTAAGCACACACATCCCCAAGAAGTCCCCTGCACCCTCATTCCTAACTTTTAGCTAATTGTCGCCCACCCCCCGCCCCGGACTTTTTTCTGTTGATATCCAATCCCCTTTCTCACATTGTGGAATCTCAAATCTGATTGTCTCCTGAGAGTTCTCCTACAGAAATCTCTATGCCTAGTGAAATTTTTGTGCTTTTTTTTTTTTGTTTTTGTATGTACTATTATTTTATTTTTTAAATCCTTTTATGGTTTTATTGAGAAAAAGGATCTTTGGGGACCAGAGAAGGTAGGAAACAGTTTGTGGCCTTTCTTAAGCCCCCTTTTCCTTCCAGGCCTCACAGGGGTGGGGTCTGCAGCTGCCCTGCTGACCTCTTGCTTTGGTGGGATTAGGGTCGGGGGCCGATGGGAGGGACGTGAGGACACACGTGGAGCATCTTTAGACACAAGGATCTGGACGTGTCCGGTAAGTGAGCAAACAAAGAAATAACCCCAGATAATTAGAAAACCAAGTCCAGCAGAGTTTAGCCTCAACCAACTAAACTCACCCCCAAACCCATCCCTCAAGGCACATGGGAAGAGTGATGCTCCTGTGTGTAATATATTCTCATGAATGTATGCAACCTTATGAGCAATTCTTGACTTGTAATATAAATTCTACCCTTTTCTTCTTTGCTCAGAGAAGCGTACTAGGATTGAAGAAAATGAAAGGATTTGCATTCTTTCTGAGTGTGTGTGAATTTTATGTATGTAGTTTATGTGAGAGGGGCAAAAATTGCCCACTGACACTTGGCTAAGTAACAGGTTGTAATTGATCCCAGTACGTCAAGGCAGTAGATAACAGTAAGGCCACACACACGTATGTACATGCACACACACAGGTTGTCTATTCTGAGTAATTTTGGAAATGGGGAAACGGAAATTCCTAGAGAACTTAAGCGAATCTCTCGAGACTGTAGTATGTCAGAGGTGCAACTGAGTCTTCCAGTTCATGCCTTTAAACTTCTGTCTTTTGTCCTTTGTGAGGTGCCTGGGGATGACCAGGTGCCTGTCTGATTCGTGCCGCATTCCGTTTTCAGAGGAGCTGAGATAGGTGACCCCTACCAGTCCATCCTAAAGGAAATCAATCCTGAATATTCACTGGAAGGACTGATGCTGAAGCTGAAGCTCCAATACTTTGGCCACCTGATGCAAATAACTGAAAAGACCCTGATGCTGGGAAAGATTGAGGGCAGGAGGAGAAGGGGATGACAGAGGATGAGATGGTTGGAAGATGGCATCACCGACTCAATGGACATGAGTTTGAGTAAGCTCTGGGAGTTGGTGATGGACAGGGAGGCCTGGCGGTGCTGCAATTCATGGGATCGCAAAGAGTCGGACATGACTGAGTGAAATGAACTGACAATTCGAGAAAGCTTGCAAGGACCACCATTCCCCAGCGTGCTGGTGAGTATTCCTCTCAGGAAGATGGCACCTGAGAAGCCTGGCATTTGTGAAGTATGTGGGCCGGTGTATTGCTCAGTCTTCTCAGGTTGACAGCTTTGGTTTTCTGTAATTTGAGAGGAGTGTAGCATGTCAGCCCGGCTTTTATCATGCACCCCTCTTCTCTTCCTGAGGGTTATTGGAGATTTCCTGGTGGTATTTTTAGTGTCTGAGCCTCTATGGTTGCTCAGGTGTCTGGGGCCATGGTTTAGCGACTTGCAGAGAGGCACCTGATAGAACTGATGACTGCTGAGTGGAAAGCCTAGGAATTGTCTGACAGCTCGCCCTATTGCTTTCAGCTGAGTTATCCCAAGTTTTCTGATAACTGACCTTCCAGAATTACAGGGTTTCATTAGCTACCCGTCTTCAGGCTGAATCAGAAAAAAAAAAGGATATATTTTGGGGTAGAGCAAAGGGGATGGATGCAGCAAACATTCACACACCATTTTTTGCCGTGGTCCCCTCTCCCTGTCTTTTTATTTTTTCATGCCAGCTGGACTTCCCCAAGCCTTGCGTCTGTGGGCAAGGCTGCCTGGGGAAACAGCTGAGTCACAGCTTTGCTGCTTCTCTATAATTACAAATTTTATCACCTCATCTGACATAGAAAGGGTGTTGGTTGGAAATGAAATACACATTAGGAATAAGCTGTTTAGAAACAGCAGGAAAAAAAAAAGCCTTTCATAATATGAAGGCTATTTTTTTAAGAGTCTGGAGCTAAGGTTATGATGAAACAGAGGAGTCATCTCCCCTTCCAACCCCTACAGTCATGGAGCCCAGAACATTAAAATCAATAACACCGTACTTTTCCCATTCTACCAACACATCTCCTGGTTATTTTGCTTCATGTCCTTAGCACACGGGTCCATCTAACGCACCATACTAGCTCCCCCCCATCTCTTCTCCCATCTTCTTTGCTGTCCTGTCACTCAAGACTCTTCAAGATCACCTTCACTATGAAATCTTGTCCCCCCCAAGTAGATACTCCTTCACGCTGTATTATTTTGCTCTAGGAACTTAAAAAGCACTGTCCTTGGACACTTCTCTGAGTCCATCAAACCTCCAAAAGGTTTGTTGTTGTTTAGTTGCTGAGTTATGTTTGACTCTTTGTGACCCCATGGACTGTAGCCCCCCAGGCTCCTCTGTCCATGGGGATTGTCTAGGCAAGAATACTGGAGTGGGTTGCCATGCCCTCCTCCAGGGGATCTTCCCAACCCAGGGATGGAACCTGTGTCTCTTGTATCTCCTGCACTGGCAGGCAGATTTTACCACGAGCGGCACCAGTGAAGTACCTTTTTATCTCCTTGTGGTTCTTCCTTTCACAGGGCAGTCTTCAGTATGATCTGATCTCAGATCTCCCTCGTTTCCAACTTAGATCAACCAGGTGCCCTCCCAGCCAAGCTAAGAACAAGGCCCCCTTCCCACATGTGAACCATCCCCCAGTATAGCCAGGGCCTGCCAACTAGTGACGTTTCCTCTTCCTGCTCTGCCCAAGTGTGACCTTGCCGATACCATCTCCTATTAGACGACCGATCCGGATGTTTCTGTTGCCTGGTTGCTATTTTGCCACATGCTTCCTGGACAGGTTTCCAGGTAACCTTAATGGCTGTGCTTCTGGGGAAGGAGGAGTAGAAAATAACTCACCTCTCCAGTAAGTGGCTTTCAAAATATAACAGCATTTAAAAGCTTTTAAAGAGCAGCTCTCTCCTTCCGGCCGCCTGGGCCCTGTTTGCTATGTGATAGGAGCCTCTGTAAGGCTCTCTGCTTGGCAACCTCCGACTCGGACAGAAGGCAGATTTAAAGGCTGGGGGATTGACTTTTCTCTGGAGGGCTTTTCCATGAGGGGCGTGGGAGGGGAGTCTTTAGGGAAGCGATGGTCAGCGATTTGCCTCTCCGTCTGCCGTGTGAGGCTGAACACACTCTTTGTGTCCATAAGCCAACCCCAAACCACAGAGGGGGCAGTTTGTCCTGGAGAGGCTGGTGACCAGGACCCGGAGGGCAGGAGGTTGGGGCCGTCATCGCCGCTCCTCCCACTCGCATTTCCATCCGAAACTTGTAGGGGAGACGTCCCCGAAATGGCTTGGTGTTTTGCTTTGATGTGGCCACCATGTGGCCATGCAGGCTCACTGTGGTGCGGCTGGTCCCATGGCCCAAACATGGCCTGACTGTCCACTTTCGGAAACCGGGAGGTGTTTTGGCCTCTGCCGGGGCTTGAGTTTCCCGTCCCTAGAGCCTTGAGCAAGACTCTCATGTTTACCAAATCCTAGCCTCATGGTTTCCTCCCTCAGGGCTGGGGGAGGAGAAGTAGGCACATCATATCAACTCGACTTGCAACTTCCGTCCCTTCCTCTCTGCCCAGCATGAAGTTACCAGGGGGAGGCTAGGTAGAGGTGGGGTGTCGGGGGTGAGGAGATGGATTGGTCGTGTGAGCTCTGAAAATACCACCTGGAAATCCTCACTGCAAATCACATCATTAGATTTTCTGTATGTAGTTTTTATTTTTTTTCAAAAGTGAAAGAAAGGGAAAAG